GAAGACCACACCCCTCAAAGAGAGAAAGAAAGAAGGAAAAAAAACATTTCTCAAAGCATCTCATTCTTCTAATGAACAGCTCTGTTTGCAAGTTTCTTCTTGATATTAAGACCAAATTTATCTCTTTGCAACTTCCACATACAGTTCAATACCCTCTGGGACCCAACAAAACAAGTATAACCCCTCTTTGAAATGACAGCTCTTCAAGCATTTAAAGGCTTGTTTCCTCTCTCTTTTCCCCAAGCTAAACATCCAAGTTGTTTCAAAGAGATCTTCATGTGACACGGATTCAAGATCCTTAAGCAGCTTTGTTTCCCCTTCCAGCTTATCAATATATCTTTTGAAATTGTGGTGCCCAGAACTGAACACAATACTTTAAATAAGGTCTGACCAGAGCAGGGTGTGATGGGACTATTGCCTCCCATTCCTTGAAGTTTTTGCCTCTTTTAATACAACCCAAGATCATATTAACTTTTTTGGCTGCCACATCACACTGACTGCCTCTTATTGAACATGTAATTCCCTAACATCACCTCCCTGTCCACTTCAAAATAACTATTGTCTCATCATGATTCCCCCATCTTATACTTTCCAAATTAGCTTTTTTAATCCAAATATAAGACATCACATTTATCCCTACTGAATTTCATCTTACTAAATTCAGTCCAATTTTCTAGACTTGTCAAGATCATTTTAGATCTTGATTCTTTCATCCAGTATGCTAGCTATCACTCCTAATTTGGTGTCATCTGCAGATGTGATGGGCATACCATCTATGCCTTTATTTGAGTTCATGTTTAAAAAGAAAACAAAACAACAACAAAAAAAAGCAAAACCCAAAACAGAGTCAAGCACAGATCCCTGGAGCACTCCAGGGGAAACTTCCCACCACGCTGACAATGAATTTGGCCAGAAACAAGTCTGAATCCATCTAAATGTATCATTATCTAGTCTATCATCTCCACAAGAATTACAAGAGACACATTATTAAAATAGTTGCCAAAATATTAGTAAACTATATCTACAGCATTCCTCTCATACATCAATTAGTAACCATGTCAGAAAAGAAAGTTAAGCTAGTGTGGCATGACTTGTTCTTGACGCCATGCTAGCTAATCACTACTTCCTTTTCTAGATGTTCAATAACTATCTCTTTAGCGATCCATTCTAGAATTTTCCTGTAAATCAAAGTCAAGCTCACCAGCCCATAGTTTTGCAGACACTTTCAAGAAAGCAAACAAGGGACACTTTTGAAATTGAAATTTTTTAATTCATTCATTCAAAAGTTGTCTATTATTTAAAAGGCAAAGCTAAATAGTTCACATATTCCCATCCCTTGCCCTGTAAAGCTACCTGCGTTACACCATGATGCTTCTTGCAACCTCAGCCTCTCTAATATCATCTTCTATTTGAACTTCCTGGTTGGCAAATCTAACAAAATCCTTACTTAAAAAAACAAACTATAAATTATATGTTCATCCTGAAATGAAGCTAATTTTAAAAAAACCTACTATATCTACAAATGACTAAAGAAGACATAAAAAGCAAATGTGAATAACATTTATTAATAATAATAATATAGCACTTTAAAATTTGTAAGATGTTTTATATAATAATTAAGCCTCACAATAACTCTGAGGTAATTACTATAAATATTATCCCCATTTTACAGATGAAGAAACTGAGACTCAGGCCTTTATCACCTTTCCCCAGGACTAATAGCCTCATAATTAGTTTCCTGAATCCATTCCCTCCCCTCTTCTATCTATCCTCCAAACAACTACCAAATTGATATTCCTTAAACATTGGTCTGACCATCATTCCCCTGCCTAAGAAGTCATAGTTGCATTTAGGAACAAACAGGAATTCCTCAGGTTTTTGAAGTTCTTCACAACCTAGTTCCAACCTACCTTTCCAGGCTCACTATACATTCCTTTCCTTTACATACTCACCAAAATGGTCTACTTGTAATTCTCCATAAAAAGCATCCCATCACCAGTCTCCATGCTCCTCTACATATGCTTAAAATTCCTAAGTGTCCTTCAAAGCATAGCTTAAGTGCTTCCTTCCTACGTAAGGCCTCTCATGATCTCCCTCAGCCCAAAACCACCCATCTCCAAATTATTCTGTAAATATGCTCTATTTACTCATACACGCAGATGTTAATATCCCCATAGAACATAAGCTACCTGAGGATACAGGTTATTTTGTTTGTTTTTGCCTTTGTATCCTAGTCCTAGTCCTGGCACACAGGAGGCACTTAACAAATGTTGACTCAGAGTAATATGTTTAAATCAAGATTTTGAACAGACATGGGTACATTTCCGTTGTCAAGAATAAATTTTTTTAAGGTTATCACACAAATATTGCATACCAATGTGACAAAGATACTTTAAAACTAAATAAATACTGATGGGTTTGGTACAGCCCAGCAAATACATTAAAAGAGTATCAGTGAAGTTTTTAAAAGTAACTTACATTCTGAGACCAAGCTACCACCTAAACACAGTCATTGCCTCCTTTTGTTTGGAAAAGGGGGCAGGCAATTCATTACAAGAACTCCTCAGCAAATTAAAAATAGAAAATAAGTAAAAATTCTTCAGCCACATGACATTTCCAGATTTTTATATTTAAAGAAACCAGTACATCTTTTCAACCCACAATAGCAATAGGTTGGAGGGTCCTTCAAGAGACATGAAGCAAAAAAAAACTACCCAATCCTATCCATCTCCATAGGGAGCAACAGATTTCCTATCAACACAATTAGTAGACCCTTCCACAGTGACAAAATCTACTTAAGAAGATTCTCCACAATCAGGCAAAATTGGAAATTTCTAATTTGTTTGCCTTTAGCTCTAGTCATACCCATTTCCCCTACTTCAGTCTCCTCGACTCTCAACCTCACAAATCTTTCCTCCTCTTCCAAAACAGGCCTAATCCCATCAAACTCGGGCTTCTCCCGGCATGAATTATAAAGTTTCACCGCAGAAGTAATTACTCACGATCCACAATTTCCCAATCACCCTCAAGATCCAAGAAGACCTCTTAAGTCATCCCTCACATTGAGGAGACTTTAAATATCTACACACACCACAGAAGGGGATACTTCTAGTGTCCCCTTACTTAGAGAGAAGACCCTCCAGGAACTCACACAAGCTAAGGGGGAAGCCACCACTACCTCAACCCTCAAATGCACATGCCTTAAATAGCACACACTAGGAGGGAAGCCTCCCATCTCTCATGCACACATAGGCAAAGGAGAAAGATTCCAATATCTTGCGCGCCCGCACAAACACACATACATATACACACACACACACACACACACACACACACACACACACACACTGATGGAAGAGTCTCCTCAATTGCTCTCACACACTCGCTAAGGGAATATAAGAATCCAATCTCTCTCTCACACATGCTGAAGGGAATGCCTCCAATAGCCTACAAACACACACGCCTCCAAACTCACATACGCATGCTGAACAGACCTCCAATAACTCACACACATTCACACACTCAAGCTGAGCCCTACCGATAACTTACACACGCCCCTCCAAACTCTCACACTCGCATGAAGACCTCCAATTAACTTACACACACGCAGATGAGTGGAACCTCCTCAATCACTCATTCACACTAGAAGAGGGAATCAAAGTGCAATCGCTCTCTCACATACACACGCTGAAGGGAAAGCCTCCAACAGCTTACAAACACACACGTCTCCAAACTCACACACACGCTAAAAGGGAAGGCCTCCGAAAACTCACTCTCTCTCTTTCTCTCTCTCTCTCACACACACACACACACACACGGAGTTGGGGGGAGAAGCGGTTGGGGGGAAAACCTCCAATCTTTCTCACACCCACATGGGAAGGGGAAAGCCCCCAATGTCTTACAAGCACGCACACACACACACACACGCGCGCGCGGGGAGGAGATCCTCCACTATCTTTTACACACGCGCGCGCGCACCCCCCACACGCACGCACGCACATACCGGCCGGTCCGGGGAGGCCTCTAATGGCTCCTGCTGCCCCAGTGTCCAAGCCCTCCCCGCCCGCCGGTGCCTCCCCTAACGGCAGCCTTTGCTCTAGCCTCGTCTCCTCCGCCGAGCCCGTACCCGCCCTCGCCCTCTTCCTCCTCCTCGCGCCGCCCGGCCCCGGCCGCCCAGCCCGTCTCCTCCAGCCCGGGGGCCGCCCTAGGCCCCGAGGTGTCCGGGGCGGCCGCGGGCGGGGGAAGGTCAGGCGCTCCCCCGGGACGCCCGCTCCCGACGCAGCTCCCACCTACCATGGTACAGATGGAAGCAAATTTGGAGACTGTCATTAGGATTTCCATCCGCCCAGCGCCATCTTCCACCCAATCACAGCGGCAGCGGCGGCGGCGCCGAGCTCCGAGCACCGGGCGCGGGGGAGGAGGAGCAGGGCAGCGGGGCCGCCGCCCTCACTGCCGGCTGCCCAACAGCCCCAGCCCGGCCGGCTGACTGAAGGACCGGCCGAGAGACCCACACACCGACCCCAACAACCGTCTGACCCCAGCGCTCCGGCACCCCGGCCAAGGCCCCCGCCCCCCGGCTCCGGCTCCGGCTGCGGCTCCTCCCCGGCTCAGGGCGCAGCCGCTGCCTCCGGGGCCCGCTCCAGCCCGCCTCGCACCCCGCCCAGCACGGCCTGGGGAGCGAGCTCCGCCGGGGCCCTAATGCCCGGACTGTCCAAGCAACTCCGGCACCACCCACTCGCCGCACCCCGGGGACCGACAGCCCGAGCGGTCGGCACCCACTCCGCCTCCTCCTCCGCCTCCGCCCCGCAGCTAGAGGCCAGCAAGCTCCGCCCCCAGCCACCAGCCCGCCGAGCCCGAGCGGCCGCACGCGCACGAGGCACCGCCCTCTCCTCCTCCTCTCCTTCCCCCGGGCCGTGAGAACTCCGCCCCCAACGTGTAGCGGGGTAGGGTCTGAGGGGGCGGGGAGGCGCCGCCGGCACGTCCCTACGGGTCCTAGTGCCCTCCCTCCTGCCGCCTCCCTCCCTTGCCTTCTCAGGGAATGGATGATCTGAGCCGGGAAGCCAGAGCAGCCAAGGTGGCCCGGATGGTACGGAAGACAGGGCTAGGAAGTTGGGTCTTTGCCTGATTTATTCGGGCAATTTAGACCCCGAGGTGGAATGATGCAACTCTGCTCCCACCACATCCCCGCCCGAGGGGTAAGGAGTGAGAAGATTTATCATTCGGTTCTGGGCTGGGAAGGGGAAAAGCCCGCCTCCGCAGCAAACACCCCTGGAGCTTGAGTCATTTGCAAAGTCTAATCTTTCTTTCAAAACGGCATTTTCAAAAATGCTTCATGGGAACACAATAGTAAAGTTAGATGAAATCTTCTAAGATCTCAAAGCCCAATCCCCCTTATTTTACAGGTGGGGAAACTGAGGCCCAGAACGGGCAAATGATTTACCCCAAAGTACCTTACCAAAGAAGAAGAGAAAAGTAAAGATTCGATATAAGCATGTATATTTAGCTCGGTGATGTAAGAGGAAGGGTAAGTAATCTGCAAAAAGACAGCCTGCCTGTTGGGTATGAATTTTGATGATGCTTATAAATATACTCTCTAAATATATTTTTCCAGACAGCGAGAACTGCAAAGGGAAGAATAGGATGAAACCCGACAAGGATAATATTACCCAAAGAGACAAAGGAAGTTGATAAGACTGGGAAGAGAGAGAAAAAAATTGACAAGTTCTGTGAGAAGTACATCGAAGTGTAAACTAGTGGAACTGTTTCCTTCTTTCTATTTTTAAAGTGCATCATTTGAAAGCCTGTCCTTCATTTCAGGCAGCCCAGCTTTAATTTTTCTTGTTCCAGGAAATTAGTTTAATTACTTAAAATTATCCAGTAAATTCCTGTTAAAAAGAAAAGGTCTGTTTTATTTTTAAATACTAGCTTACAAAAGTGAGTAAGGGTAGGGGGCAAAGCAAGGTTCTGTCTGGTTCTGTGTCTGTTCTGTAGAGATTGTATTCAACTGAACAACTATCCCTAAAATAATGGGCCAAAAATGTTTAAAGTTTGCTAAGAAGTCAGTTTCCATATTGACTTCCATTATAACATAGTAGATGAATTCCGTTAGGAAAAAAAAAATTGTCCTCTGCAATCAAATAGCATCCAGCAAAATACTTTGTACATAGTAAGAAATCCATAAGTGGTTGTTGATTTGATTTTTAACCTAATCTGTCTTCTTTTCTCTAATGTTTTCCCTTAAACCATCTATATACCATTACCAGGTACAGCCAAGATCATATTATTCTCCTATTCAGTGATTCCTTCAATGCCTATTGAATAAAATAAAAGCTCTTTGGCCTTAACCTTCAAAGCCCTCAACTATCTAGCTTCGACCTCCTTTTCCAACCTTAACTCACACTTTATATACCCCACTCTCAACACACATTTGCAATAACATTTGAGGAAAGAGAAATCAGCAACAGTCAAGACAGGAAAGGCTTTCTATAGTGGCTCATGAGTTGAGTCTGGAGATACCTAGGAAATCTAAGAGGTAGAAGAGAGGAAATATATTATACAGTTGCAGGGCAGAAGATGGAATGCCAGTGCAGTGAATGTCAGGTGCTAATGGAACACAGAGTGAATGAAAGGGAATGAAGAAATAAGCCTAGGCCTCCCTTCCTTCATTGCAAAAGTGGAAGATTATGGGTAAAACCCTGAATATGGTGTCACACTAGGTTAATATACTGATTTACTTTACTGAACTCTCTTTTTCTCTTTTTTATTCTTTGTTATAATGGATAATTCTCTCTGAAGGGGAGGTGGAAGGATTTATTGGAAAATGCAGGTGATATAAAATCTAAAGATATTAATAACATTTTAATGGGGAAAAGACCTGGAAAAGTAGGGTATAAAATTTAAAGGGTTTTGCACAAACAAAATTAATGCAATTAAAATTAGAAGGTAAACAGTTAACAGCAAAATAATCATTGAAGCAAATTTCTCTGCTAAAGGTCTGACATCCAAAATATGTAGGAAATTGATACGAACATACAGGAACAAGAACCATTTCCCAATAGATAAATGATCAAAGGCTATGAATAGACAGTTTTCGAAAGAAGAAATACACATTAAAATAACTCTGAGGTTCTACCATCAGATTAGCAGAGATGACAAAAACTGGAAAATGGCCATTTTTGGAGAAGATATGGGGGAAAAAAAGCAGACTAATGCACTGTTGGTAGGGTTAAGAAATGATCCAACCATTCACAAGCAATTTGGAACTGTACCCAAAATGTCACCAAGGGGAAAGAATGTAGATACAGAAGAAGGCCCAGCAATGAATCTAAGTGAACCACAGTTAGGTTGTGGGACATGAATGATGATCCAGGAGGAGAGACTGAGAAAGTACAGTCAAGTAGGTAGAAGAAGAATCAGGATAGAGGGGTGTCATCAAATCAATCAAGGAGAAAGCATTTTTTAAGTTGTGCTTACTATGTGCAGGTGGTGTGCAAAGTCCTGGGAATACAAGTGTAATGGAGGTTTGGCACATATCCAGACCAATGAAAATTGTGTCAGGTAGGTAGGAAATGCCTGGGACTTGCTTCTGAAAGGCAGGGGAACTAAAGCATGCCTGAACATTCTGAATTGGCCTACCATATGGTTGGGAGCAGCCTTTTATATTGCCTATGTAGTCAGAATTATCTGTGTCTTTAAATTGACCTTACTAAATATGATTGTCCTCTTTTCCAGCATTTGCCTCCAGGGGTGGATTCATTCACTCACAGCAGGTAACACTGTGAAGTAAGGGAGTTGGGGGTGGGGGTAGGAGAAGGGAGGCACTCCTCTGATATACCTCCCTTTTCTCCATAGGCCTCCTCCGTGAGGCCCCAAGAAATGGGCTTGGAGTTTTGGTCTGTTTCATTTGTCTTTTTCACTTCTAGCTACAGAAAGTGGAGTTCCAGACCCAGAAAAGTGAGCCCTGGGGACTTTGGCCTGAAGCACTCTAGACCACATATTGAAGCCAGCCCAGCAACGATTCAGGATAGACTTGAATTTGTTGGAATTAATGCTAGGTAAGAACTGATACTTCCTAGAGACTGAGATGGTATAGGAGGGATTAGGCTCTCAGGTGCTGGGGAAAATGTTTGTATGTTTTCTCATATTATACCTTTGAAGTAAATATGCCTTTGTAAAAGCTAAATTAAGTGGCTCAGCGGAACTGGGTGCAAGTCATTTGCCCCTAAAATGGGAGCTCTAGCCAAGCCAGAGAAAAGCCTCATCTTCCAACAGCTCCAGAGAATCCTAGGTTAGGGGGATGGAGCAGTGTAACAAGACCTGGCCTTAAAACAGTAGAAGCCAGAGAAACACTGTTACAAACCAAAAAACTGAAAACAGTCCCTGCCCTCTAGAAGTTTGGATGGGGGGAGGGGGGAGGGTTTGCCCATATTGCCCATAGAGGAATGTAGAGATATGTAAAAGTTGAGATATTGCAATATGTCAACAAAAATCCTTGCTTGCTTTTAATTGAAAATCAATCACAGGCAAGTTTCTGGAGAACAGTAGGGGAAAGGATGAAGAGCCCAAGTAGAGGGGTCAGATTTGGCTAAAATAGAACCACTTTTTCATCAGAGACTGGAATAGAAGAGGATAGAATGAGGAAAGACAGGGGAAAGTTCTGAAGCATGTCATCCATTTTTTCAGTAGAAAAGTAGGAGAGTTAGAAGTAGGAGGGATGCAGCTGCTTATTTAGGTCTGGGACACTTCCATTTGGACTTATATTCCACAAACCTGGTGTATCTGTGGTTCTTACCCACTGCTGAACCTAACTGCTGGCATGGGGCTTAAAAAAAAAAAAAGCAGTGACCTAAGGGTGGGACTTTAGTCCTTCCTTATGTACATGGGGGCTATGAAGTTACTATCTGTCTTATTTTGTTTCCAAATCTATATCATATGAGGCTTATGGGGTGCAAACTAAAAATGTAACTTTCTGTCAATTCTGGAACCTGGTTACATGAAGAAATATTCTTATCTTCCTTTAGACTCAGGTTAGGATAGGAAATTTTTTCAGAAGTGTGCTTTATCTGTGAGCTCTTAATTTTTGCCAACAACAGGACCAAGTGGAGACTAAATCGCCTGTATTAATTTAAGATCAATGATGAACAATAATCACTGAAATGTTCTTTTTACAAAACCCGAGTACAAAGAAATATATACATGTAGATGTATATGTGTGTTCTCTTATTCTAGTACAAATGATTTTATTTCCTAATCAAAAACATCCAGATAATAATGTATATATGTATATAAGGGGCATACAAGAAATTAATTGATGTAATACTTAGCAGAGAATCTTTACTTTTAGTTAAGTGCTAGTTAATTACAGCTATAAGCAAGAGAATCTTAAATATTTGCTTTCCTTCTGCTTTGGATTAGACTGGTTTAACGTAGAAACAAAGAAATATTGCTAACAACAAAACAAAATGAGCAAACACAGGGATTTAAAGGTTCTTTCTAGGGATGGGAGGGGGAGGAACATAAGATTGCTCTGGCATCCTCAGCAGGCTTGAATAAAGGAAAGAAAATAACTCTTAACCAAAGTAAAATTAACATAATAATAGCTAGAATTTATTTAGCATTTTAAGGTTTTCAAAGTGCTTTAGGTACATTATCTCATTTGATCCTCACCACAACTCTGTCATTCTGGTGAGGCAAATTTTATGGGACACAAACACATACACACATATGTGTGTATGTTTAATTCAATTCAATAAACATTTATTAAGCACTTAAAAGAATGACAGTTCTTGCCCTCAAATCTAATGGGAGAAGACAACACACAAAAGAAAACTCTCTCTCTCTCTCTCTCTCTCTCTCTCTCTCTCTCTCTCTCTCTCTCTCATCTCTCTATATATATATGTATGTATGTATGTATACATATATACATATATCTACATATGTACATGCAGACACACATGCAGACACACATATACATATATATTTCTATAAATTCTACAAATATATATTATATATATTAAAACCGACTTCACAGGGTTGTTATGAGGATCAAATGAGATATGTATTGTGTGTGTGTATATATATGTATGTGTGTGTGTGTGTATGTATAAGTGTGTATGTGTATTTATAGACATTTATATATAACCATACTGCCCATAGAGGAATGTACTGATTCATAAAAGTTGAGATATTGCAGGATATTTTAACAAATATCTTTGCTTGGTTTTTATTGAGAAGTGACCTTTAGACTTTCAAAGAAATGACCTCTCCCTCAAGTAATTATTTTAGAGGGATAAAAGGACATATAATAACCACTTCTCAGATGATTATCATAGAAGGGCAGACTGTTGACATCCACTCCCTCTAATTACTGTTTTAAACCACAAAAAACTTAATATAAAAGAGAAAAAAGAAAAACCCCTTCATGTGATTTTTCACCACTGCTTTTAAGAAAGAAAATGATCATAATAGGTAATGCCAGGTGGATCTGGAATGCAAGGGAATGGGAGGGGCAGGTTATTTTGAGAATAAGTCTAAAAACCTGCAACTAGAAGAAAAATATTAACTCGGAAGCCTTTTCTTTATTATTTCGGGGTCTACCTTTGTGACCTTGAAAACAGGCCTTAACCTTTCCCTAGGCTTAAATATTTTTAGCCATGTAGAACAAATTAATCAGGGATTATTTTCCTGCCCAATACATAGGAGTGATTTTTACCTCTGAGATAAATCAGTAGACAAACGCAAGATGGCTAGAGAAGTCTACCTACAAAGGTGGTGAGGTCAAATGTATGACCATCTTTATGTGTGGCTTAGAAGGAATAAAGAGGTAGGTCATAGTAGTAATAAATAAACTTGGAGGGTAAGATGTTTGAGGAGGTATCAATATATCCCCAATATTTAAATATGTTGGCCTCTTTCCAAGCCCAAGTCAAAGAATTTGGAGCTACATAAAGCTTGTCAAAGTCTTCTTGCTCTAGAAGAGATAGCAACAATCAAAAAGTAAATTACAAAATGTCCAAACCCTGCTTACCAATGTTGATTCTGTAACAAAATCAGAAAGGAAGCCCTCTGAAGAATCCTCCCAGAATGCTAGTCATTTCTGCCATAACTATGTGAATGATCAATGGTCAGTTGACCTTGACCTTAGGAGCCCCTCCTAGTTCCTTTATCTTTTTTTATTCCTGTCCAGGGTAGATCATCAGAACCTTTTGTGTCAGTCTAGCCATTCAGACTACAAAATTCTCTTTATTACAGTATGAGAAACTCAATATGCAAACTAGAAACAGAAAGATTTTTATAACTAGGAGCCACAGAGTATAACCTGGCCTAACTTTACATGTAAGTTTGACTTAGTTCTGATCTACCAGTGTCAGTGTTTGATGAGATTGAGGTCATTTCTAATTGGCTTCCTAGTCTATAGCCACTTGACACACAGCTGACACTTTACTTGATCCCCCACGGGGAAGCTCTTGGAGTAGCCATCCTCACTAAGCCCCCAACACTATGGTAGAAGTCCTTAGCCTGAGTCCATCCTTATCTGGTAACAGTTGGCAGTCAGTTTCAGGCTCACTTAAATTTGGCATCATTAAGTTGCAAGGCACTGTGCTTGACTGAGAGTACAAAGAGGAAAACCGATATGGTACACACTCTCAAAAGGCTTGTAATATATTACAGAGGTAAAATATATACAGAAATAATTATAATAAGAATTAGAAATAGGGATAGTATGCAGGGAAGGTCAGGGTGATGGAGATTGAAGAGAGAGGAGCAAGATCATAGGCTTAGAGCTGAAATGGATGTCAGAAGTCATTTTAGAGGAAGCTAAAGCCCAGAGAGATTGAGTCACTTTTTTGCAAAGTTGCAGACAATAAGAAGTAGAATCAGGATTTGAACTCAGACAGAAGGGGCAGCTAAGTCGCACAGTGGGTAGAATGCTGGACTTGGAGTCTTGGAAGACTTGGATTCAAGTTCTGCTACATAAGGTTGCTTAGCTGTGTAACCCTAGGCAAGTCACTTAACCTCAGCCTCAGTTTCCTCTTCTATAAAATGGGGATAATATAATAGCACTTACCTCACACGGTTGTTGTAAGGACCAAAAGAGATAGCAGATGTAAAGTATTTTGTAAACCTTAAATTGTTTTATAAATACATCATCTTCCTCCTCCTCCTCATCCCCATCATTCCCTTAGACTCCAAATCCAGTCACATGGTCATTGGACCATGCTAAAAATCACTTCTAGCTAGGAAAATTGGGGACATTTTCACAAAAGAGGTAGCACCTAAGCTAGACTCTTAAGGAAGGGAAGGCTTTCAATAGAATGGAATATGTGAGAGCTTGTTTCAGACCAAGAGGAAGTAAACAAATACAAGACTGAAGGAAAAGGCAGGACTAAGTTTGGAGAATACGTTGTAGTTGGAACTTCAGTGAATGATGACATAGTATTGTCACATAAGGTTAGAAAATTAGTGTGGACCTCCTGGAAAACAATTTGAAATTATGTGAAGAAAGTGATTAAAGTATCTATACCCTCTGAATCAGAGATTCAGCTAGTAGGTATGTACCCGTAGGAGGTCAATGACAAAAAAAGAAAGTTCCCATATAGTCAAAATATTTATAGCATCATTTTTTAATGGTAATAAACAACTGGAAAGGGCTAAACAAAGTGCGATTCATAAATGTAGTAGAATATGACTGTGCCGTAAGAAACAATGAATATGGTAAATACAGAGAAGCATGGGGGGGGGGTCTTATATGAACTGAGAAAAAGTGAGAAAAGCTGAACCAGGAAAACAACATCTAGTTTCACTAGAGGAGACATGCAGATCCCAGTTTTCTTCAAGCCTATATGTTGTGGAGTCTCCATCATATCCCTATCCCCAGCTTTGGGGAATTCTCCTTGGGAGGTCTGGAATAGCTCATGGCTTGAAGTAATCAACATGACGTCCACAAATAAGAGCGTCTGAAGGACTTCATCATCTATAAGGAACGAATTCTGTTTCAACACTGAACTCTACACCAAATCTACTGTATCACAGGAGCTTGAGCGCATCTCAAATGCTAATTCTTCCATGAAGACTTCCTTGATCGCCACTGACAGCCCTTTAATTTTACAGTCACATCAGAAAACTGGTGACCTGATTTTCCTGGCAATTCCTCCTTCCTGGAGTGCTTTCCCTCCTTGTCTGGACCTTCTAACTTGACTGGCTTCCTTTAAGTCTCAGCTAGGAAGGGGAATAAGATTCATACAGCTCCTACTATGTGCTGAACTCTGTGCTAAATGCAATATGTGAAGTTGGTGCTATCATTACCCCATTTTACAGTTAAAGAAGCTGGGACACCCAAAAGTTGTGACTTGTCCAGGGTCACACAGTTAATAAGTGTCTGAGGACAAATATGAATTCAGGTCTTCCTGACTCCAGGCCCAGGGCTCTGTGCATTGTAGTGCCACTTAGCTGCTAGCTAAATTTTCATCTCCTGCAATAAACTTTTCCCAGTCCTCCTTAACCTTAATGTCTCCCCTCTGAGACTATCCCCAATTAGTCTTGTGTCTATCTTGTTTGTGCCTATTCATTTTCATGCTGTTTCCTGCTAGATTACGAGCTCATAGAGAGCAGGGATTGTTTTGTTGGTGTTTTTTACCTTTCTTTGTATCCCCAGCAATTATCACAGCATTGGCACATGGTAGATGCTTAATAAATGTTCGTTGACTGACTGATCAAAAGAACAACACCAAAACAATTCAAAGAAGAGATGAGAATGCACCTCCTCTTTTTTTAGAGTGGGTATCAACATAAAACATAACTGCATATAATGTCAAATTTGACTTATGTGTTTCTTAGTTTTGATAAACTTTTTTAAAGTCTTTTTTATTCTTTATTATAAGGGATGATTCTATGTTCCACCATCTTTGTCCTACTGCACCCATGCCTGGAATGCTCTCCCTCCTCATCTCCATCTCTTCTGGCTTGCCAAGAAGTCCCAGCCAAAATCTCACCTTCTACCAGAAGCCTTTCCCAACCCCTCTCAATTCTAGTGCCTTCCTTCTGGTATTTGTTTTCATTTTATCTTGTGTAATTGTTTCCACCATTAGATGTGAGCTCCTAGAGAGCAAGGACTATCTTTTACCTTTCTTTGTAACCCCATTGCTTAGCACAAGACCTGGGACATAGTAGGCACTTTGTGAGTGTTTATTGACTTGACTGACCAAGAAAAGGATATGGGGAAATGAAGGTGACAGAAAAATAAAAGATACCAATTTCTAAAATTTTAGAGAAAAAGAAAAAAATTGAAGGCAGATTATGGAGAGCCTTGAGTACCAGGCCAAGGAATTTGTATTTTATCCTGTAAGAAAAAGAGACTCACTAAAAGCTTTGTAATGAGGGAATAACATAATCAAACTTGTTCAGTAGGAATATTATTTTGCCAACAGTGTCCAGTATAAATTGATTAGAAAGAGTAGAGACTGGAGTCAAGGAAACCAAGTATAAGGATATTAAAATTGCCTAGGTGAAAGTTGGTGAAAATGCTAGCAATGAGAGTGGGAAAAGGGGGAAAGATGTAAGCTATTGTGTAGATGAATCAATTATACCTACCAGCTGATTGGATGGAGAGGGTAAAGTAGACCGAAGAGTCAAAGAGAACGCCATTACAGTGAAAGAGGACTCCATTACAGCCAAATTTATTCAACAAATCTCAACGTATCCCTCCTTCCCTCTCTGTGTATCTGACAAACAACAGTTCACACAATCTTCCATTCCTAAATTATATTCCTTTTTTATCACTCAACCTTTCAGAATTCTGTCTTTTTTTGTCTTCCCTAATCCCCCTATGGTATGTGTGCTCACTCCCCTTAAACTTTCCTAGATCACTTTGTGTGATCTCTCCATTCCCCACTTTCACTTACTACCTCATATCCTTATTTATAATTATATACTGAAAAAGTTCTTTATGGGCAGGGAATGTTTTGCTTTTTATTTTTGTATCCCCAGTATTTAGCAGAATAATAATCATAATAATCATAATAAACATTTAATAAGTGCTTATTGAATTAACTTCAACTGTAAAGGCTCTCCACCAATAACATATCTCTCATTCATTCATGTTGATGTAACGTCCTGTTCCTTTAATGTTGTTGCTGAGTTAAATCTCAGAGCTGTAAGAGAAGCAATCACTCTGAGAAACAGTTGCAGAGAAGGTTGAGTTTAACTCAAAGGTGCAGTTGCTCAGTTTTTAACGTGGCAGACTATATAGTGTACTGATGACATATTGACCCCAGAATTGTTCTATAGGACAAATGCAATTTATTGGTTTATGGACAGAAAATGAGAGTTTGATTACTAATCATAAACTAAAGTGAAGTATTGACAGAAAGGATCAAGAGTCTGAACCCAGAAAGATAAGTGAGGTGAAAGTACAGATTTTAGCCTTGTGTCATCCGTAAGTTTGAAACTGGAAGTGGAGGAGTCTACAATTGTGGCTGAGGAGTAATCTATCTGAGCAGAGGAACAGAATAGAAACAGGAAAACAGAAGTCACTCAGTGGATCAACTAGTTTCAGTGAGATGTGTTTAGTGAGGTGTTAGACAAGCATTATGTGGCTCAATTTAGCTTAGCAGTAGAAGTTTCTGTTTAACACAGAAGGTACATTCATCAAGGATTGGTTATTTCTCAAGATAGAAAGAGAATGCTGAAATTTATGGTTCCAGAGTTATTACGCTGAGCATATGGACTTTCTTTACTCATGTATTACTTTGGCAGGGTTCTGTAATTGTGTGCACACTCACACAATTGATTGAATTAGTTGGGCAAATGTGATCCAGGTTTGTGTGTGGGTTATGATAGATGTATTATTCCTGCATTTTCTTTGATATATGAATACCTATAGCATCATTCTTATTTATTCTGCTTTATTGATAAGTAAATAGTTATGTTTAAGATATGTATCATTATTGTAATTGACTGGATTTATATAAGAGGAGGAGCGTTAGAGCTCAGGAACTGAAGTGGTCAGTAGGGGAAGAGTTTTTCTCCTCAATAATGTCACCCACTAGGACACTAAGATAACTTGTGTGTAACCTCGTGGTAGTGGTGGTCCTTCTCTGAAAACCTGAACCTGCTAGTGTGAGGGAAGGTTGGCATATGCAAGCCAGCTCAGGGAGTAAGTGTCCTTATGCCTCTATGAGAGATATTAGACACTAAGTGTGGGAAACACACCCTACACATTCAGATCGCATACATACAGTTCCTTGGTAGATGTAGCAACAGAGATAACTTTGTTCAGCAATTCTATGATATCAACACCAAGTGAGGCCTAAAATACACAGACATATGCTTGCCAAATGTGTTTGCTACTTGTGTAGAGGCTGATCAGTGAAAGAGGGATTCCCCCTAGCTTGGAAGGTCTTTCAGATGTTCCTGTTGGTAAATGACATTGTTCTGTAATCAAGCCCCAGAACACTACAGACTATGCTATACAGTTGGATATACCTCATAAGTCCCCTAACCTAGGCAAAAAGGGTTTTTATATCATTAATACATACATATTTTTGTATGCTTTTATTGAATATAATATTAGTAATTAGTAATACAGTACATGTGTATGGCAAGTAAATACACATATGTGGGAATATATCTATCTATATATATATATGAAGAATATACATTCTGAAGAATATGTGAATGTATATGAAGAATATGCATTCTTAATAATATGCATTATGAAGAATAAATATACATATATTTATCTTTTAAAACATTTAAAAAATAAAATTAGAAGTATCTCATTAAGAGGACAAAAAGAATATGTTGGGGTTAGAGTAGAGCCAAGAGGGTAGATTAGAGGCAGCAACCCAGCCAAACTCTCCCAAAATTCCCCTCTAAACAACTTGGGCTCAAACATTTTTACTTATGATGTGCATGTCCAAAAACAGTTGGTGACTAGTCTAGGCTAAACCAAGGTGGGCTTGCCTTCTGCCTGTGGACTGCAATATCTTGGTGCTGTTTAAGAAACAGTCCTTTATCAGCAAATTTTTAAAATACGAGAAAAACCAAGTCATGAAACTTAGAAAAGAGCAAAGAAAGCAAAAATAAATGAAGAAAATTATCAGGGATTGTGTAACTTTGGGCTTATAGAAATTTTAAATCTGAAGTATGTTGCTAATTAACTATAGGAGTATAAAATATAAAGAATTAACAAAACAAGAAGTAAATAACTTAAACTTTAGACCAATCCCAAAAAGGAGAAATCTATTAAGATATTTAGATAGTTGCTCTGTAGAAAGACACCAGGAATATCCAGATGGATTCAGAAGCAAGTTCTACCAACCTTTTAAAGAACAAATAACTCCTATACTATGTAGATTATTTCAAAATATAGTATAAGATGGTATGCTACTTAGTTACTTCTGTGAGGCAAATATAGTCATTGGATTTGGAGTGAGAAGGGACTTTCCAACTATCATATTTTACAGATGAAGAAACCAAGGAACAAAAAGGTTAAGTGACTTGTCCAAGGTCATAGCTACTATCTGAGGCTGGATTTGAACCTAGGTCTTCCTGACTTCAAGTCCAGTGCTGTATCTATTAAAACTGAGAAAGAAAACTATGGACAATGTGACTAATGAATGTTGATATAAAAAGGAAATGAAATACAAGTGGAATACAGCAGTAATAAAAATAAGATCCATCGCAAGTAATAACTAAATTGCAACTAAAATAACTAAAATGCAAGGGAAATTTAATAATATGAAAATAATATAATAAAACATTTCAACAAAATAAAATTAGACTTTGATGTCACTATATGCAATGAAAACATTTGGTATAATATAGCATTTATTTATCCGTTGGGGAGGAAGTGCCCAGACCAGCCACACTTTACTTTTCTCCCAGGCTCTGTGCTGACTCTTGGGAATTTTTCACCTCTTTTCTCAGTGCCTTTTTCCCCTGCAGATGCCTGCACCCCTGTGTCTGGCCTCCTCCTTTCATTGAAAAGTTCCTGCCTTGAACCTCCATTTGAGGCAGTCCTTGAGCCAGTCCTGGCTGATTTCTCTTCTGGCTTCACTTCTACCTGTCCCCACATGGGTACCTTCCCCCTCCTTCCCCAATCTCCTCTCTAAACTTTTCACCTCCATTCTATGTGTGGTCTTCCACAATTAGAGTAGTAAGCTCCATAAGGGTAGGGATTGTATTTCTTTTTGCTGGTATTTTTATTCCCAGTGCTTAGCGCTGTATCTTGCACAGAGTGTCACTTAATAAATGTTTTATATGTGTATTATTTATCTTTTAAAGTCTTTTAAAGATATCTTTCATTATTATGACAAAAAGGCATATATTGGGGTTGTAGAGCCAACATGGAGGGTTAGAGGCAGCAACCCAGCCAAATTTTCCCAACATTCCCCTCCAAACAACTTTAAAAGTATTTCTCAAAACAAATTTTGAGTGGCAGAGCCAGCAAAAGATCAGAATAAGACATTTCCCCAGCCTCCAGCCTAAGACTACTTAGGAGGTCAGCAAGAGAAGTCTGTGTGTGATACTAGAGTTGGGGCCAGCCCAAAGCATGGCAGAAGCAGCAGCACCACTGATGGTGGGCCTTGGAGGCAACAGCAGTAGCTTCAGGAACTCTCAGTCCAGAGAAAGTAGGAGGCTCAAACAACTGATCAGAGATTACAGAGAACCTTATACTAGCACTGGGTGCTGGTGCTGATTAGCAACTTTATTGCCCATACACAGTTCTGGGTCACAGCTTGAGGACAGAGAGGAGCGCTTTGGGTTGGTCACAAGGGAGCAGGGACCCTGGTCACAGTTCCAAGATACAGAGGAGCACTAGCATTTGTGAATAAGGGGGAGCAAGGCTGGCTAAGGACCAGAGGACAGACCAAGAGAGCAGTGACCACACCTCTTCCTGGATCACACCACCTTGGAAGTACCAAAAAACTTGTAGACCCTGCTGAAAACAGCAGCATGAAAAATTCCGAAGCTTTGGAAGTGCATCCCCACCCCAAGGTGAGCAGAGCCCAACTTTAACATAAAATTCAAAGTCAGTAGGCTAGAAAACAAGCAAACAACAATAACAGAACTTGGCCATAAAACACAACTGCAGTGGCAGGGAAGACCAAGACATTAATGCAGAAAATAATAGCAATGTGAAACCAATTACT